GGGGTTATGGGGGGGGGGAGGGGGAGGGATTGGGGGAAGGGGCATAAAGAATAAGTACGATTGTCACAATATATATAGCTAGAAGTATTGATTTGATCAACATATGTCAATGTTGAACCTCCAAAATACGTATAATCAATTTTGATTAAATAAAAATTTTTAAAAAGAGCAGTGTAAATGGCTCACTCTTTTTGAAAAAGATGCCAGTTTACATGTGCATACACATTAAGAAATGTTGGCCAGGGTCATTCAAGGATTAATGTGAATTTTCAGCATTTTGGTGATTTGCTTATCTATAACAATTTATTTTACTTTTTTCATTGTACATGGTGTACTGTATAATAATCCAATCAGAATAGTTAGTATATCTGTCACCTGAAAGTTTATCATTTCTTTATGGTTATAACATTCAAGATCCTTGTTTCTGACTGTCCTGAGATAGACAGTAATTTTTTTATGAGACTCATGAGCCTCTGTGATTTCCTTTAAAGGCTTTAAAATCATCTGTTATAGGCACCCTGCATGGCTTAGTTGTGTCTTTCTGAAGGAAGTCCCTCTGTACAGAGAGGAATGTCAGCAAAGTTCTTTCTTTGGAGCTGGCTGGGGTATAACCAGGCTCAAAAGCAAGCCTCAGGGGGCCGGCCCGGTGGCGCACTGGATAGTGCGCCACTTGGGAGGCGTGGCAGCGCTCCCGCCTGAGGGTTCGGATCCCACATACGGACCGGTTCCCGCTCACTGGCTGAGCGAGGCGCGGGAGCAACACCGAGGGTTGTGATTCCGTTGCCGGTCCCCGGTCCGGTACGGGGGCAACACTGAGGGTTGCGATCCGTTGCCAGACACGGAAAAAGACAAAGAAAAAAAAAAAAAAAAAAAAAAACCCCCCCCAAACTCCATAATTTTGGATAAGCTAAGAAAAAAAAAAAAAAAAAAGGAAACCCCAAAGGGAAGACTGTTACATTTGACAACCTAAAGAACATTTAGAAACTTTGTATGTCTATAAAAATATAAATTGATTTTTAATGGCAAAGAAGTATTTAATAATATTGGCAGTACACACAATATACTGTTACCATAATCATATAAAAGGCCGTTATAAATCAACAAGAAAAATATGAAAATACCAAAACATTAAGTAAAGATACTTAACAGTGCATTGACAACAGAAAATATGCAAATGGCTAGTAAACATCACAAGTTCAGTCTCTGATAATCAAAGAAATGCAAATGAAGTCAACATGATAGGGTTGAGCAGGCGAGGCGCCATCTCTGGACTTAGCAGCGCCTTTGAGCGCAGAAAGACCCGCCTTCCCACTTCATGCTGCTGCGTCAGGTTGGAGGCCGACAACGCCAAGGCTAGAGGCCGGATCCAAATGCGGCGCCTTAACTGTGTGCATGGCCCAGGGTTCAGCCCCAGGATGCAGGAGGGAGAACAGCACTGGCTTCCAGATTGCAAATTGGAAGGTGGCCGGTGGCGGGCCCGGGCCACCCCTACCCCTGCCAGCATGAGACCGCAGAGGGGAGGGCCGGGGATGATCCAGTGGAAAAGCTGTAAGGTCCCAGCACGTGCAGATTTTGTATTGGGCTAGTCTGGCGAAGGTGAGGGATGCTGCATGGAAAGACCAGGCCGAGCCCTGTGCAGCCACCCAGGTCAGGGAGGCAGATTCGGGCAAGGCTGCGGGGGCGCAGAGGCCAGGAATGGGCTGAGAGGTGCGGCCCGTGGGAGGTGGCCTTGCTTCCGTCCCACCCGCCCCTTCTCCTGCAGAGAGGTCAGTGTCTGCTGCACCTTCCCCTGGCCTGTCTTTCTGACTCTCGGGCTTTCTCTCGGAGAATTTGCCGGGCCTTTGCTACATGCCGCGTGGGACCCCCGCAGCCTGGACCCCTAGCCAGCCCCACCATCTTGAGGCCCGATCCTCTCTGCTTTCTTGGCCACTCCGTCCCATGTGGCACGTCCCCCATCCCTGCTGGCCACTGCTGTCCCGTGGCCCCTTGTCTGGCCCACCTTGACCGTGGGGCTGCCGCGGGGAGTCCGGCCTCCTCAGCCTCGTCCTCCTCAGCTTCTTTTCTTGCACAGCCCTCCACTCCCACCCTCTCTGCTGCAGAGGACAGTCCCCAAATCTCCGACTCCCACCGTTCCCTGCACCTCTGACCCTCACATGTGCGCTGCGCATCGGCCTGTCCTCCGGGCTGTCCTCTCTGTTCTTCAGACGCCAACGTTTCTAAAGCTGAATTCATCATCTTGTGGTCCCCGGCACCTGTCCCCTCCTGCTCTCGCCCACGCCCTCCCGGGGTGGAGAGCGCCACTGTGTTGCTGTTGCTCGGGCAGCACGTCATTGTCATCGCCGGCAGGTGGGAAGCTTGGCCACGCGATCCTCCTCTGCTTGCCACCAGGCCCGAGGGTGTGAACTGTCACTTGTATCTAGGCGTGTCTATGGGCCGGCATTAGTGGGGTGCACATGCCCCCCCTCTTTGACTAGGACATACTCAGTGGCACTTTTCCTCGCTCTGGCCACCGTCACTGCTGGTAGAGAAGAAGGAACATGGAACCAAGGTCCGGGAGCGAGTCCGAGGGGCCAGGGGTAAAGGGGAGAGCTGGGCGGTGATGCCTCCTCAGTCACAGTCCTGGCACTGAGGGCCAGAGGGCCGGTGGCCCTCCTCTCGAATCTGGTGGCTGTCTCTCCGCTGTCCACATTTGCTGGAAGTCAGGTAGGCCACCTGAGCTGCTTAGAACATGAGCTGTCCCCTCCCTCAGCTCATCAGGTGTCCTTGCTTCCTGCCTGCCTTGGGGACTGTTGGGGGGAAGGTGTGGGGCAGAACCTGAGGGTTTGGGTCCTGAATCCAGCTGAGGATCTGGCCTAGGCCCCTGCCCCGTGTCCACACCCTCCCCGCCGGCTGCTGCGGGGCCTCCGTCCTCTCTCCCTGCTCCCCTCTCTCAGCCCGTTCCCCCTGCCTTTGCGGGGCGCCAGGCATCTGTCTGCTCCCCACAGTCCTCCACTTCGTCCCAGAGCACAGCCAAATCTTGCTCCTCCACTCAGACATCTGGATGGCACCTGGCTTTCTTGAGACCACGTCCAGGGTTCTCCACACAGCACAGTGTCCTCCAGGGTTAGCTCCTGACCCCTTTCCTGCAGCCTCTCTAACCTCCAGCGGCAGCCACAGCCTCCTCAGTACTGGATAATGACATTGTATCACCACGAGTGTGTACGTTACACTAGCAACATGTACACTCAGTTAGCAAATGACTGTAACACCATCGTTAGAACAGTAATAGCAGGGCCAGCCCGGTGGTGCACTGCTACAGTGCGCCGCTTGGGAGCATGGCAGCACTCCTGCCGAGGGTTCGGATCCCACATACAGATCGGTTCCTGCTCACTGGCTGAGCGAGGTGCGGGCGCAGCACTGGGGGTTGCGATCCCGTTGCCGGTCCTGGTCCGGTACGGGTGCGACACTGAGGGTTGCGATCCGTTGTTGGACACGAAAAAAGACAAAAAGAAAAAAAAAAAAAGAAGAACAGTAATAGCAAATGTTGCAACTGTCCAGGAGTCTGGTTCCTACAATACGACGCAAGGACCTTCAGCCCTAATTATCTCCATCTTTAGTTCCGAATCCACAGAAGCTGCCGAATAAATGATAACGGACGATCAGTGCAGAGCGGTTCGTGATGGGTGCCAGGTAGTGGGTTTCTAGAGAAGAGATCACAGAACTGCTGCGGCCAATGCCTGTGAATAAAATAAGTCTGCACACCACGACTGGCCCCACAGGGAGGCACCAGGAACGAAATCTGCATCAGGACAGGGCAAAGAATATGATGCGATTGTGAACATAAACCAATACAATTTGGTTAATAGACTGGAAACTTCTACAGAGAAAAAAACAGTAAAACTGTACAGCCCCAGATGCAAACATCCAGGCACCACTGGGGTGGGCGTGGGGAGGTCAGCGTGGACTAACTCCATCGGTAGCCCCAGAGCCCACAGGACCCATGCACGCGGATTCAGGTCAGAGGCAGCGTTTGGCAGTACCTGTCTTAGGACCTTTCCCTTAACACTAGGGTTTACAAAACGGAGTTGGCTAGTCCTTCATATCAGGAGTAGAATCCACAGGAAAGGAGAGGACCATGACAACCAGACACCAGAGGCTGTCCCAGAGGTTGGCTGTCCCGGCACGGCCAGCACTTCCCAGGGCCTCTGTCAGCAGACCCCTGGGCCTGCCTCAGTACCCCCAGAGCGCTGAGCTCTAGCTCCAGATCTGCCCCGCTAAAGCCACCGGGCCAGCAACTGCCGCAGTGCCATGCACCGTGGGGAGGGTGCCCTCAGGACTCTCCCTGGGTCTGGTCGTCCTGACCCCACAGCAGCAGTCCCGGCACTAACGCAGAGAGACATGACTGCAGCGTGGGCAGATCAATCTCAGGTCTAATCTCCAGCACGATGGTGATTCGCTCTGGACTAATAGTGTTTGACTAGCACACAGTTCCCTGGGAGAGCAAATTTTCGGGAAGAAGAAATCAATAAAAAGCCTCATCAGCATGTCTTGGGCATGGGAGACCTATTTACACTAATGTTTATTTAATTAATTCAAAAATGCAGCTGTCCAGAATCTCAGGCATGCGGTTAGACACCTCGTAATGGTTCTGAATTCTTTAATCTGGAGAATTGGGAACAATTCAGAACATTCGGTGACTGAGGGCAAGAATCCAGTCCCTTTGCTACTATGATCATGTTGCCTTTCTGGACTCAAATCCTTCAGGGAATCGAGACGCACACTGTTCTCGACTAAGTCACAGGCGCAGGTCCACTGGCTCTACTTTCTAAGATAAAGATCCTTCGGATCAGGACTGTTGGTGACACTCGGGTTCTCTGTGCTGGTTGGCTTCATGTTGGAAAAGGGGGTGGTGAGATTTTTCTCCATTTCCCCTCCCCCAAGGGAAGCCTACTGAAGAGCCACCTCTCACCTTAAGGTCGGGGACCCCGTAGCCCTTCTTCAGGGTGATCTGAAACACATCCAGGGCGCTGATGTACGCTGCCAGGCGTGAGAGGCTCTGCTTGCCACTGCCGCCCACCCCCACCAGCAGGGCGTTCCCACGGGGAGACTCCAGGATGCGGTTAATCCTGCAGATGTGAGCCACCGCGTCCTCAAACAGCACCTGGAGAGAAGACAGAGACACCTCGACACCTCGGAGCACGAGGAATCGCCTCCCTCGGTGCCTTGCTGCGGGGTGGGCAGCCCACAGGATGCCCTGTGGACGTTTACGGTGAGACAGGAAAGGGGATCCATGCCCAGGAACCTGCCCCTGCCATCAGCGTGAGCACCACTCACCAAACTCATGACTGCATTGACTTCATTGTAACTGTCGAGGACTTCCACCAGGAGCTTGTTCAGATGGGCCACATCGGTTACAGAGAAGTATTTGGGATCGCCAATCCCTTGAGCAAAGTGGCAGAAGATATTTGGTTTGGCAAATAAGAGTTCATCACCCAGATCCTAGAAAAAAGAGAGAAGATACTTCTATTTTTTGCTACCACGGACACAGATACTTAATAGCAGCCCCAGTACCTTGCCAAAGAGGTCCCCAAGATGCCAGACCAAGTGTCCAGGGGGGCCCAAACCACTGCTGCTGTGGGCCCAGCAGACCACTGGGCAAAATTCCCTGGTGGGATGGTTCAATTCTGGTCACATCAGGAATGACTGGACCAATGGAACGGTTCCCTCAAGAACACGCAGGACACACCAGCAGAGCACACTGAACTAGGTGGGGCGTTTCTGCACTCCACGTGGACGGAGGGAGGTCATCACACCCTGATCTCCTGAGTGGTCAATTCCTCCTCCCTTAGCTCCACAGCCATGTATCCGAGTCCCCACGTGGGACCTAATGTGGACCCTCCCATCACGAAGGGCCCTTCCAAGAGGGCTGCAGTTATCGTGGGCCCAGACACTCTACCTTCTTGGAGCCTGTCTGGGCTCAGCAGAGGGATCTGTGGGCTTGACTTACCTCAAAGAATTTCTTGGTGGAAGCCATGGTGATTCTACGCAGCGTGTCCTGGTCTTTTTCGTCAACCATCTTGTCACCATACACTCGTTCAGCTTCATGCAGCCAAAGGCGGACAAGGTCCAGCGGGATTTTCAGAATCTCTGCTGTGGAAAATAAGAGTCCCTGCCCCAGCACAGGAGGGTCAGCATCCTAGATGCATTATGAAGCTGAGCCAAGTGCCATGCACAGATGAAATCAGAAATAGCCACTTCCCGGGCCGGCCCGTGGCTCACTCAGTAGAGTGTGGTGCTGATAACACCAAGGCCATGGGTTCGGATCCCATATAGGGATGGCCAGTTCGCTCACTGGCTGAGCGTGGTGCTGACAACACCAAGTCAAGGGTTAAGATCCCCTTACCGGTCATCTTTAAAAAAAAAGAAAGAAAGAAAGAAATAGCCACTTCCCCAGGGAGGGGACTGTTAAGCTGTTGGCACAACATCTACTCGGGGCCAGGGAAGCCACTGATTGATGGTCACACAAGTCCTGGGGATTGGAGAGTGTGGCTGTGTCCTGAGAGATGTGGAAGAATTTTCCTCACACGACAAGGCTAAGGGTGAATTGGAGGGAAGTGACAAGGGAGGCTAACCATGGTGGGGGACACAGAGCAGGAGGTCACAAGCTCAGGCTCTGCAGCGAGCCTGTTTTGGTCCAGTCCTAACTCGGCCATTTACTAACCAAGTAACCTTGGCCAAGTATAACCAGTGCTTTTTGAGGGTCTGCTATTTGCCAGGCACTCTTCTGGGCCCTGGGGATACAGTGAGGACAAGACAGACCCTGCCTTCATGGAGTTTACATTCTAGTGAGAAGATGTAAGCAAGTAAACAAAATAACAAGTAATTACATATTATGATGTGTGCTATACATGACATACACAGGGCAGTGAGACACAGTGTGTGGGGAGGAGGAGGGGGCCTCTGGGAGGCCATGACATTTGAGCTGACACAAAGGGGGGAGAAGACAGGCCTCGCTTCTCCTCCCTGAGCCTCAGATTCCCACTCTGTAAAGTGGGATATGAGTACCAAGCTTATATGTTGTTGGAGGAGAAAATGGGAGTGTAAGAAGCCAAACCCAATACCTGACCAGACTCAGCAGACATTAAATGAGAGGAAATGTTATCAGCACCATCATCACAGACACCATTATCATCACTGTCACCACCATCAACACCATCACCACCATCACCACCACCACCACCATCCACCAACATCACCATCACCACCACCACCACCATCACCACCATCACCACCACTACCACCACCACCACCATCACCATCACCATCACCACCACCACCA